ATTAGTTTTCAACCAAGTTCAAACGTACATCTCTGTTCTAAAACTCGGACGGACCACTGATTGCCACTCACATTTGCTTTGAGTCTTTTCTTGTCGCATCAAGCTGGCTTGATTTCTCCCTTCCGTCGGCTGGGGAGATCGTGAGTTTGACTGCTTTGCCTTATACAAAGTAAATACGGTAGCACTTACGCCATAATACAAACTTCCAGGTTATGGGCAAATCACCAAATTACTTTCACTAACATATTCTTACTCTCGAGGTTTTCCTAACTTGTAGAAACAGGGATGTTTAAAGCCTATAATTATGTGTGCGATCTTATTGCAGAACTGACTGAATTTTCGGGCAGCAAAATTACGGAAGCTTAAGAGCTAAGCGCACTTGGCTTCATCAAAAGGATGACTTACTTGGTCTGAGTTCCACAGAAGTCGACTTTAGAAAAAGCCACCGCAGCCCGACCTTTAATCTGTCAGGTTCAGCGGGACAACTGTGTAATATTCATGGCCTGCCAACAGGCAGCCATATGCCTATGTTGCACGATTTTGCCAAACTGACAGCAAACGTGATATCTGAAAGTCTGAATGAACCTATGAATCTGTGTCCTGACTGATTTATTCCAAGTTATCGCATAAATCACTGGAAGAAGAGTTTAGTTAGCCGGATATTTTGGATTCTTGTGCGAATCCATCGTTAGAGACAGAGTCAGATAAGGGCGCTAAATTGCCCAAGTGTTGCAGTATCTAACGGATGTGGTTGCAAAGTCGCCACATGCCTATCATAGTTGACAGCTCCCGAGTGCATCACGGCTTGATTGGCCAGGTGTTGAAGTATGTCGTTGCCGTGCGGGTGTTATGCGTCTGTATACCGATCAAGATTGTCGGCTTCCACGCTCATCGCACTCAGTAGAGTTGCTAACTGCCGGATTTGAACACCTGTGTGGACTCTTGGCCATTTTGTCCGCCAACATTGAAACCAGGAACAGTAGTCGTCTGCACGCTCACCTCAGCACGAAATATGGAGGGGGAGGTCGTTGCGCTTGTTGATTGATCGAAGACCGGAGAACCGTGATAAGAGCAGTTCGCGGCTCCCACAGCTGTCGTCTATAGAAAGAGTTTCTTCTTCGTCAAATGTGTGGTTGGGTACCGTCAAATGAGTTGCGATGTGGGATTTGACGTAGTTTCTCCTCACTGCTGTTGCGTTCTCGGTCATACGCGTCCGGAATAGCCATCAGGTGTCTCCGACATAGCTGCGATATCCACAGCTGCACCAGACCCGGTTCCAGAAAATTCTTGCCGTGACAGTGGGTCTTTTGGCCTCACGATCTAGTGCCTTATGGTTGTCTCCGGTCTGTGTGCAACTCAAATTCCAAGGAACGTAGGAAAACAGCTGATGGCTTCCGAGACATTCACGTACGGGAGAGCTCGTTAAAATTTCGGGCTGGTTGGGTTCCGTCTCTTGTCTCGTTTGCGCGGGTACTGGTTGACGAAGTTGCGCGGGAAGCCGCTCGCACTAAGCACCCGTCGAATTTATTGCAGTTCAGCAACCTTGTCTTCCGGTACACTACAGTGTGTCTGCACGCAGCTGCGTTTAGTGCCTGATTGGATGGTTGTTGTTGTAGTTCAGTGCTTGAGTCGTGTTTGTCGTTTTCCTGACTACTTTGTTTTTTGGGCCACCACAATCTTTGCGACAGACGAGGACATCCAGGAAGGCCAGCTGATTGTTTTCCTCCTCCTCCATCGTAAATTGAATGTCCGGGAAGACGGCGTTGAGGAATTCTTCGAATTCCAGCACTTGATCGCGTTCGATGACGACGAAGGTATCATCCCCATAGCGGGCCCAAAATTTCGGTCTGCGGTGTTGGAAAACCAGCGACTCCAAATGCTGTAGGACCATTTCGGCTGTAAGTCCTGAAATCGGCGAAAATATTGGCGTACCTTCACCTGTTCGTAGAATGTTTCGTAGAACGTAAAGTACGTCTTGAGACAGAACTTCAGGAGTCGGAGGATTTGGGTGTGTCCGTGGCGATTTTCCGTTTCGTCCTATTTCTCTCGTAGGAGTAGTTCGATGGGCTCCACTGCCAGGTCCTGCGGAATAGAAGTAAAAAGGGACGTAACATTAAAGGATATCATGACGTCGCTTGACAGGAGACTTACCCCTTTAGGTTTTTTCATGAATTGTTTTGATGAACTGATTGTAGTGTCTGGATTTGAGTGAGAATCCGAAACCTTAGGCTAATAAAGCTCTTGTGACAGCGATCGTGTCCGATTCTTCGCGTTTTTTTCCTGGAACTCGCCTATTCACTTATATTGACATATCGGATTAATGTTTGAGGAGACTAAAGGGCTTAAATTTAAAAGCTGCAGAATCTAATAGAAAATACACAGGGGACGCTGTGAGGCCCATTGACAGATCGCAATCCTCCCGACTGCGTAACACAATGGGTGAATAGCGCATAAGCTGTTAGTATGGTTAAATCATGCAGCAAAATCATCCACCTTGATCAATTCTGATGGCCATTTTCCTCCTCTCTCTCTCTCTCTCGCAAGTACAGTGTCCGAAAACCACTATAATTTTTGCAACCCTCCTTTTCCGGTCGGCGAACCCACTAAGCCCATCCTCTGTGGCTTTCGAAGCCCCTACCCTCACAGCGAACCATACCGCTCCCCCGCCAATCTCGCATGACGATGGTATTTAGGTAGCAGTCCGAAAGTTCACGAGTAGATTTTTCTGCAGTTGCAGAAAACCCTTGTTTCTTCTTATTGTTGTAAACGTGGACAACAGAAGTTTCTCAATTACTACTCGTCATGAAGATGCCTTCGCTGTCAGCCTGACTGGGGTGGGAACCCGAGGTTTAAATTTATAAATCAGGACTTTTGATTACCCAGCAGGCAGCCCAAATTTGCTTTGCGCCCCGAGAGTTGCAGGTCCTAAGCCACGTATGATCCAAATAACGCGATACAGGTGTATATCGGAGAGACATCGCACATACAGATCACCCGCGTAAAACCTTGTCTCGCTCCCGCAGAGTGCTTGCCATCCACTCTGCCATTGTCGTTGTGGGGGGGAGGGTGAAACGTTGCACGTCACTGAATGCACATCTCACATTTGCAGCATCCTCTTTTGAGGTGGTCTGGTACGTGGGCACTTGGGGACCAAGTGGCGTGTGCATGGCACACGTAGACGGGCTGTTTAGCCACTGAATCCATTCTCATTGCCTGTTGATATAGAGGCTTGGACAGTCAACTGCAGCATGAAAGACGGAAGAGGGGGTAAGGCTGTTACTAGGTAAATCAACGTCTTCTTCGCATAATAAAGTAGAGGGACTCAAATCTATGGTGACGCGCTAAGAGTCGTGTTTAGAAAGGTTGTCAACTGACAGGATAATTCGGTCCTCATGGGAGTATTTTAGAGTGACTGGAGGATTTATAGTCAGTCTGCAATGGGTCCTTCTCAAAGTGGCCTTTATTGGCAGTGTCAGTGATGTACGATCCTAGAATCCCCTCCGGAAGCCTGGCGCATGAAGTATGAAGCAGGCCGGGTGTCACACGATTACACAGGCTGTCAGCCATCGCACCCGCGCTCACGTTCGGTCGTCTTGAAGTTGTCTCTCCATCAGTGCCAGGTGAGTCAGGGAGATGCTGTGCAGAGCTGCCTCATTATAAACCGATTGGGATACAAGTCGTCGTGGGGTATGCAGCGGACGCGCGTCGCTTGCGATGGTCGAGTTGTTATTACCGACTTCATTATTATCTGTCTTTTTATTGCACTTTTGTTGTTCTTCTTCAGAGTGTGGAATCAGCAACATGTTTTTTAAAAGAAGATGAACACACGATCTCTGTGACATAACCTGTATTAGTCTGAGCTTTCGGTCTCGACAGGAGGTCGTCGTCTGTCACCAGAGTTGGTGTCAGACGCCCAGGCCTCCAGCAGTTCACGTCCTGTCTTGTTGCTGGCCCACGCCACTATCCGCGTGCTCGCGAAGTTGAATTCGTGGTCTTCCTCCAGGGTGTGGGTGGCGACCTCAGACAACAGAACGCCTCTCCTGACTGCCCCTTTATCTCCGTTATTCGCGAGCAAGTCGTCGTCTGGTCTGTCCCGTGTAATAACGGGGACAGTCTCGACGTGGATTCTGATAAACGACACCCGATTGTTTTCCTACGTCTAGTCGGTCCTTCACTCGCATGATTTTGTTGCACATGGTCGATGTCGGACGGCGAGCTATACCCACGCCGAACTCTCCAGCGATACGTCCCACCGTTTCGGGCACATTCTTTATATATGATAGAGGATGCCAGAGTGTTGGCGGCTCTCCTCTATTTGTTCGCCGTGGGTACGTGCGGCGTCAGAGCCTGACGAATCTGTTCGGGTATCCGTTCCTTGTCAGTTGGTCCCGAAGATGTCGCAGTTCTCGTACTCGTCCCTCCGGTCCACTGCACTGCGTTTTTACCCTTTGGAAGGATGTCCTAACACAGTTGTCTTTATGCGCCATTGGGTGGCTACTATTGTAGTTGGTAATCCGATTTAGTTAGTTGTCTTTCTATACACCGTGATGCTTAGTTCGTCATTGGGTGTGCGTGTGAGGGGAGGTCAAGGAAAGGCAACTGCTCGGCATGCCCTTCTTCCTCTTTAAACTGAATGTCGGGGAAGATTCCGTTCAGCAATTCTCGAAAGTCGGCTAGTCTGCTTCTTTTAATTATAACGAACGTGTCGTCTACGTACCGGTGTAAAAACACAGGTTCATAGTGATCGAAGGCGACTATTTCTAACTCCTGTAAGACTAGTTCCGCAACCAGGCTGAATTTTGGCGAACCTTTCTGTGTTCCTTTGATCTGCTCGTATGTTCTGCCATTGAAGGTGAAAAAGGTTTTGTTGGCAGAAAGCAAAGAGTTGCAGTAAATGGGCGATTGTTGGAGGTCTCTTCGGTTCGTCATAGTTTTCGTCGAGTCGTTTGCGTAGAACGTCGAGTGCCCAGTCCGGAGGGATGGATGTGAATAATGAAACCACGTCAAGGGACACCACAATCTGATCAGGTCGGACACTTTTTCTTCGGATGTCGCCCAGGAAATGAGAAGTCGAATTGATGGAGGTTCACGAGCCTTCTCGAAGAAACTCAAGTTTTCCAGCCATTCATTTGAATAGACTGTAAATGAGTCTGCCTTTCAAGACAACGATTGATCGAAGGTGAACATTGGGCTTGTGGATTATTTGGTTGATCCATAAAATCAGGCCAGTGCGTGTCCGTTGGTTTAATCTGTCGCTATTCGTCTAGCGATATCGCACTGTCGCGCCTGAGTCGGTTCAAGAGCCCGGTTAGTTGACCGATCATCGATTTGACTCGCGAGGAAGGCGTACATTTGTAGGACTGCTGGTTGTCCAGGAGGGTTTGTGCATTCCCATTGTAATTGACGCGGTTCGTCACGACGGTTGTTCTTCCTTTGCCGACTGGCAGCACTATTATATCCTTGTCCATTTTAGCAGTCAGTTTAAATAAAGTTCTTGTTAAATTATATTAGAATTACCTTCTGGTCAGTTGGCTGAATACTTATGAGCACGGTAATAATAGTAGAACGTTGAGGTGTTTAATATCTGCTACTTTAAAGTAAATCCTATTTGTTTTTGCATAAAGTTATGCCTGCCTATTTCGGGCCGTAAAACTTCAACAGATAGCGCCTTTCGTGTATACCCAATTAGTACGAGAATGATTGCCATCTTTAGCAGAATTCGTTAGAATTGTTCCCAATCCAAGGTAACAGTTCGTTGCTATTCTCTTTCTTTAGCTTCGTCATCACTGTCGTTTTGCCCTAGTCTTGATTCTCTCCAACTGCTCTGATAATCATCATCTTCATCTTCTTCTTCTCCTCTCCTTCCCATCATCATCATCATCATCATCATCATCATCATCATCATCATCATCATCATCATCATCATCATCATCATCATCATCATCATCATCATCATCATCATCATCATCATCATCATCATCATCATCATCATCATCATCATCATCATCATCATCATCATCATCTTCTTCTTCTTCTTCTTCTTCTTCATCAGCATCATCGTCGTCGTCGTCGTCATCATCATCACCATCATCACCGTCATTATAATGCACGTCGTCATCATCGTCATCACTTCACTGTACCCCCCAACACCACCACAACCCGAAAAAATTCAACACTGCCGACTTCGTGCTAAGACTTGTAGGTAACACACAGTCCTAAGAGTTAAACAGAAACCGCCTTAGGAGAGAGTCTAATCCAGACTTTATGCAGGTGCTTCACGAAAAACTAACAAAATTATGCGACCGCGGTAATGATGAACTTCTTCAAAGATCCACAGACATTTCAGCAGGTTAGTCATTAGTAAAGTGGTTCAGAGGCGGCTGTTAAGTTAAGGGGAATGAAAAGCATTTTGATGAATTAGTCGCCCGGAAAAATGCTTTTAGAGGACGCGATTGAAGACAGCGTCGGGAAAAATTTTCCTCAATTACTTAACACCGGTCCAATATAACGGCGTTCTTAAAAATAGATTGTTTGGCACCCCTGTTTATGGTCCGCAAAATCATATTTGCACGAACAGCCCTCCGAGAGAAAGCAAGTAAACGGATTTTTTTATCGTAACATTAGAAAGACTATTCCATACCCTGAGTGGCTTTCCGTCATAATTTTTCGCAGACGTGCCTGCTATGTCGTTTGGGCTAAATCAAACGCAGCCTTTAGTTCTTTGCCAAAATACTAAAAATATCGACCCCATTTGAAATTATTGGGTTTTATGATAAATGAGACCATATTTGTTTTTGCCAATTTCGACAGATTTTATAGCATGCATCAAGTACTTTGAGGGAAGAACTGTCGAATTTCCCAATACATGTGTAAACATGATAAAAATGAAAACAAAGTCATAAGAATTCCACTTAATACATTCGTAGTCTGAATACACTGTAAGAGTTTTATTTACATGGTTGTTTCTTTTTATCTAGGCAGGTAACAGCCCAAAAGGTCAAAAAATGTTCGAAATCTCAGCCGATGAATCCGCGACGTTTTTCCACCCCCGACGTCCTTTTGCCGATGAAACCGCGGCGTTTTGCGAGACCTCAAATAGCAAAGAAATAAGTTTACGAGATATGTTCTAAGACAGGACAAGAGTACATCTTAAGTTCTGATTTTCCACCGGTAATTTAGGCGATCATCTACTATTGCTACCTCTCTGTATAATTCTAAGTATATTCAACCTAATGGACGAAGGACGCGTGTTGCATTTAGGGGTCACGTAATTTCTTTTCAAATTCTGAAAGCTATTGCCGAGATTTACATAGGATAGAGTAAAATTTCCGCACAGATTATTCAAAGACGCGAACGACAACATACAATGTTATTTTTACAAACTTAAATTGTCGCTCTTTAACCTTTTTACTAAACTCACTAGCATAAAATACTCAGGACCGGAAATGGACAGCCATATGCGTAAGGACAAAGTAGGTTATATATGCTTGTTTGAATAGTTCCTCAATTTTCCTTTAGAGACCCGTACACGCTTAGCTGAATGAGCCTGCCACATACTGTAAGTGGGTTGGTGAATTACTCTCTATCGAAAAAGAAGTTTACTCGCCTCATCTTTCGGACTCGCATTCGACACACAGCGATTCATATTGTTGTCGCTGTTGATCAGTTAGATTGTGAATGCGCAACGTTAGGCAAGCAAACCCCTTGTTTCTGCAATCCTCTGAAATGTCTTCTGAAGCTTACACTTTCGCTTTTATCTTCCATGCTGATTTGTATTTTTAATTGCAACCGACGAACAAGGGACCTAAAACTTATTACCATAACTTTGGACTGAGCGACCAGTGATAAAATGACCCAGATTCGGATTTGGGCCTGACCAAACCTGTCGGCTTATAAGGACTGACGAGCTGGAAATAGCTATATCAGCCTCCCCGTGTCTATGAAGAAACGTATTCTGCATATGAATACGTATGTGTCACTCTAAGATTGTAGATAATTCTCTTATTACTAACGAGGTGATTATGGCATAGATATTTGGACAGTTGCTTGAGAACATAAAGTACATACCTATAGCATACATATATGGTGCATGCATTTTTAAAACTCTCATTTTCAAGCTATAGGGTGTGGGATAAATTTAAAAATTCTGCTATATTTATTAATTCAGTCGCCTCAACGATTCAGATAATTAGGTTAAAAGAACAGACACTGCCAGGAAGCAGCTTTCAACACACGAGTAATAGATTATTAGTGTCCTTTTTCTACCGAAAATATGGAACCGGTAACGTACCCGAGACTCCACCGTCAGTACTCTCTTTTAACTGGAAGTCAAGTATGCGATTGTGGCATTCTTCCTGGAGTGGAGTTGAAGCCAAGCACAGC